AGCTCCATCCAAGTTGCTGCAAAAGACATGTGTTTCTCTTTTTTGGTTGCTGAGTAATATTCCATTGTATATATGTACCACATCTTTCTAATCCAGAATAGATGAGCAATTTTTAAAAAATAATAGTTTATTTTTACATCATTTTGTGCCTTTTCCCATATCAGTTGTAATCCCCATGGGTAGATCAGCAATTTTTAATGTACTTACCTAGTTGATCATATTGCACATTAAAGGCACACATATCAGAGTTCACAAATGCTAAAAAAATTGCATGTATTCTGAAATCCATCCGTGTATACCTCCTCATAAAGAACTGTCTCATAGCTATAGAGGAAGCAGTGAATAGTCTCCGGTAAAAGAATGATGTGAGCAGATTTTGTTTTCAGCCGAGATGGGTAAAAAGTAACCTGTAACAATTCTGGCCGGATGATGCATTGTTAGTTAGTTGCTTTTATTTTATGTAGTTGGAATTCTGCAGCAAGAAATGGGAGAGAGCAATATTAAAACTAAAAATTGCTTAGAATCAATAGTAAATACTAATCTCTAGATTTAAGTAACAGGACAAATCCTTACCATGAGGTAATTATCCCCAATCCTTAAAGTTCTTAAACTGCTAACTAACAATCTCAGAATCATTTGGCAACTTGTTAGAAATACAGATTCATGGTAGAATCCCATATCTTCTGAATGGGAAGCCAAGGGTGGAGTACAGTAGTTGTATATTTAGAGAAGTTCCATTTGTGTTAAGTTGTAAGATTTGAGAAGCACTACCCTAGGGTATCTACTATAAGTATGTAATGAATTAATATCTCTTATACATATAGGATGATATTAATTTAGAAGAAGATTCAAACAATTTTTCTATTTTCTGTGGCTACTTTAAAAAAGGTAACAGGTAAAATAGGCATTCTTTAAGTAGGAAAAAATAGATAATTCATTTATATTATATTACATTTACATTAAAGTAAAATTACAGGAGAATAAGTAATAAAGGAACCAGAGAGAAGATATGTCATTTATAGCTGAATAGTAATAGACTGTTTAGTAGATTAATCATAAGCATGAAAACAGGCCAAAATCCAATAGATCAAAGTGCCCAAAAAAGTAAAATAACTTAAAGCTGTCATTCTAAAGTGAAGATGAAATAAATGTATTTTTCATACATACTAGGAAGACTGAAGTATATCTAGAAGAGTTCAAGTGAGAAATACATGTAATATAAATTCAGAATATATAAAATATGTTTAACATGATAATTGGAGAAACTTAATATTTTTTCTTAAATTAATATTTTGATACAGTACTTGATAATATATCCAGTAAATACTAGTAAAGATAAAAGATCTGACTAACTAACATGCCTAAGCTAGTGGACATTTATAGGACCCTGCAACTAATATTTAGATTGTACATTATTTTTAAAGGTTTATTTATTTATGTGTACAAGAACTGGGGTACAGGCCAGAGGTGCAAGGGGGTTAGAGGATTCACCAGAGACAGAGTGGGGAGCAAACAGGCAGATGTACTGAAAAACACTGCTGAGGGGATCAGTGGGCAAGACAGGAGAGGTCTGCCATGCCATGTGTGTCACCTCCCTGGCTGGGAATTGAACTCTGGCTGCAGTGACTGGATCACTTCATGGTGCTGCACTTTAACTTGTTGCACTACCAGGGAGGGTCCGATTGTACATTTTTTAAGCTCAAAACATTTATGAAATCTTTAAGCATTTATGAAATCTTTAAGCATTTATGAAAGTCATAAAGTAAGTTGTAGCAAATGATGGAATGATGGATCCACACTGTAGTATAATTGCAAATCAAAAGATAAAATATTGTCATTTAGAAATTTAGAAAAGAAATGGTCATGGAAAATTAGATTTCTACAGAAAGCAAAACAAAATGAAAACAGCAAAATTTTTGAATTCAGATCAAATTGTACTGAAGAGATTAATATTGGTAGGCTTAGATGTGTTTATGTGAAGAGAAAGTACAGGGCGTGAAGTAAGTATTTAACATGTGCAATCCAAAGAAAGAAGAAAGAAAATGATAGTGCTATGAAGAGAAATTAATGACAAAGCAGAGAAATGAAACGAGAAATTTTTGTTTAACCAAGAAATCGGCTGTTTGTGAAGGATACATAATGAATCACTCTACATAGGTATTGAGGAAAAAGAGAAGACACACATTAAAATGTGAAAATGGAAACAACTATAAGCTAATTGCATGAGTTCCATGAGAGTACATTTGAGAATACCAAATATGAATTTGACTTTTCTGGAAAAGTACACTAAACAAAACTAAATATAAATTGAAATATTGAATAGATGTAATATCAATAAAGAAATTAAAATCAGTAATTAAAAATACACCTTTTCCTTCCACATACACCTATCAATCACATGCTTTTACAAAGTTTAAAACTTTGTGAAAAAATGTTCAGATCTATATAAACTTTCAGAAAACAGGCAGAGACAGTTACCTACATTATATGTTGAAGCTAATTGAACTTCCACTCCTAATATAAGGTAGAAATTTGGCCTGTGTAAATTCTTTTTACTCAAAATGAATTCAAGAAAGTAAATTTTTTTAAATTAAAATTTATGTAGTATAGCTTGAAGTCTGGGAGTATGAAACCTCCATTCTCCTTTCTAGTCAAGGAGAGCTTTGGCTATTTGAACTTTTTGTGGTTCCATATGAATTTTATATATATTTGAAGAATGTCATTTAGATTTTTATTGGGATTGTTTTGAATCTGTAAATTGCTTTTAGTAGGATGGCCATTTCAGTAGTTCTTTCAATCCATGAGCAGGGGATGTGTTTCCCTTTCTTTGTGTATTCTGTTTTTTTTTTTAAACAATGTTTTATAATTTTCTTTGTATAGGTCACTCACCTCCTTGGTTAGGTTTGTTCTCAGGTTATTTCAGTTGTAAAGGCATGCTTTTCTTAATTTCTTCTATTTCTTATTGATTGATTAATTGTATATATGGAGGGTTGCTGATTTTTGTGTGTTGATTTTTATATCCTACTTAACTAGTTTATTATTTTGATTAGTTTTTCTGTGTTTTTAGGTTCTTTCTAAAGAACCTAGTATTAACTATATTAGCATATTAGCTGCAAATAGTTATATTTTACTTCATCTTTTCTAATTTGGATTGCTTGTATGTTTTTCTCTTGTCATATTGCTCTGGCTAGTACTTCCTGTTACATGAAAAGCAGAGGTAAGAGAGGACATTTTTGTTCTGTGCCTGATCTTGAAATACTTTCAGCTTTTCACCATTGAGAGTAATATTGGCTGTGGGTTTGTTGTATATGACTTTTACTATGTTAAGTTATTTTCCTTCTATACTGAATTTGAGTGCCTTCATCATAAATGGATGTTGAACTTTGGCAGTTGCTGTTTCAGAATCTATTGATATGATCATATGTTTTTAATTTTCTTTTGGTTGAATTACAGTAATTGATATTTGGCTTTTGAACTGTCCTTGTGCCCCTGGAATAAATCCCACTCTGTCTTGGTGTATTATACTTTTGATGCATTGTTGGATTCTGTTGACTAGGAATTTTCTATCAGTGTTAATTAGGGAGATTGGCCTGTAGTTTTCTTTTTTGTGTGTTGTCTTTAGTTTTGG